AGGAAATTGGAAAATATCTCTAGTCTAAAAAAGCGGTATTCTATTCCTAAATACCAAATGAGTCTATAAATAGCTTTTGCCATAGTGGAAAACAGGGAGAGATCAAGGATGATTCATTTTAGCCTGAATGGGCCAGAAATGGAAGAAAACACAACAGTTGGAATAATTGAGCCCCTCTGTACGTGAGACACTGTATGAGTTGCTTTGGGTACTATATCTAAAACCAACATCTGCAGTTTTTACTTAAGTAAATAATTGCCTTTGAGAAAGATGAAAAATTTCTAATCTGGAATCAGATCAAAGCTACCTCTTCTTGCATGCTCCTCATGATGGGGAGCTCGCAGTTTCTCAAGCTAACTTTGCATTGTTGTTTACATTGGTTTTTAGAAAGTCCTCCATTGCTTTGAGCTGAAAACCATATTCCTGGGCTGGCAATGGGTGGAGTAGTTCTAGGCACAAATTCTTCAGTTAGATCAATGGCCTGTCCCCCAGAAAATATCTGGCAGTGTCACATATTTAGTCATCATGTCTGGAGGGGGCAGCCGCTAGGGATGCTACAGAAAGGACCACGTCTATGGCAACAGACAGTGACTGTGTGAGCGTTTAATAATTGGTGTATGAGGAGCACTCAGGTTTTGGCTTCTTACTGTCTTACTTTCTGAGCTTACATCAGCTTCCTGAGTGTAAAAGGAATGTTGACTGCCTGTTTATTTGCTGGCATGTGGATGTGATTGGATTAGACTGTTTGAAGTCACTCTAGTAAAAGGCCCCACTCCAGCTAATGGGTTTGGTCTGTAGCCATTGCCTTAATTAAAAACAAATGATTTGCTTGTACACTCAAGTCTCTTAGAGAAGGGTGCATCTTTGTTTTTTACTTAATAGTCTTTACTTTGCAGAACTTTCCCACCGTGCCATCTCAGCAGATCTTCCCAATGACCCAGTGCTACATACAGCCTCAAGGTGTCTTCTTGCCATCCCAAAATATCCTTGTCCCAAGTGCCTCTGCCAGCATCCATTCTCTTGGCCCAGAGCACCCCCTCTTGCCTGCATCTTCTGCATTCTGGTTTTTACCTCATAGGGGATGTCCTAGATCCAGCTGGTATCTCCTGTGCCATGTAAGACCAAATAAGGATCTGGGTGCCCATATATCTCCTACCCTCTTTGCTAGAGCCCCTGGCTTTCTTTTTATAATGTGTACAGGGAAAACCATTCATGTGTTTGCTTTTCAATGTGGAGATGCCCAAGGGATGGATAAGTGCCTTACTTAATCACCTCACTGACTGGAGCCTGTTCAGACTGGCATGAGAGGCACAGTGCAGGGCTGGCTTCCTGGGCCCAGCGTACACAGGGCCTTCAGTCTGGTGGAATGCCATGCTGTCACCATCTTCAAATTCTTAACCACTTAAACATTTTTTATTTGGGGGTTGGGGTTATTGCTCAGTGGTAGAACACTTGCCTGGCACACTTCAAGGCCCTGGGTTTTGTCCTCAGCACTGCAAAAAATAAAAAGTTGATTTTTTTTTTCCATTTTTGACTGGGCTCCCCAATTAGGTAGCTGGTCTTGTGTGGGACATTAAGTATATGATGATTTCTACTGACCATAAAAGAAAAATCCCTTTCCACAGGCCCCTGGTGCTGCCCTCCCTGTGTATTTGTAGTCTTAGTGCCTGGGTCCCATTGGTCCTCAAGGCTTCTCCTTCCTTGGAATTGTCCTACCATTCCTCAGATCGCTCTCTAAGGCTTCACCTACTTCCCTGGAACTCCCTCCAGCATTTTTCAGGCTGAGTGACACATCTCTTTGCTGCTCTGTCTTGTGTGCTTGGGTTTTTCTAGGCTCAGTGCCTGGGTCACATTACTCCCAAAGGCTTTTCCTCTTCCTCAGAACTGGCTCTGCATTCCTTAGTCAAGCACAGGGAGTACCATTGGTACTGCAGTGGCCTTCCAAGGACTTAAGTCCTGAAACTTTTGAAGACAAAAGTGGATTCTCTTCCTCCCAAAGCAGATCATGGAGCTAAAAGAAATCTTTCACCAGAAAAGACTTGTTGAATGAGTAAGCTCCTAGCAGAGATCCTTAAGAGTATTCTTGTCTCTCATTCAGTAATTCATTCTTACTCTTTTTGCAGTGCTGGGAATGGAACCCAGGGCCTCTCACTTCCACCGAGCTACAACATACCCAGCTTCACATTTTCCTTTTTTTTTTGGTACTGGGGGCTGAACCCAGTGTTGCTTTACCACTGAACTACAAGCCCAGCAGCCCTTTCTATTTATTTTTTGCTTTGAGACATGGTCCTGCAAAGTTGTCCAAGCTGGTTTTGAACTTGGGCTTCTCCTACTTCATCCTTCAGAGTAGCTGGGACTACTGCTCACCACTGTACATAGAAATCTTTTTTTTTAAATCAAAAATGAAAAATATAGATTTTTTAAACAAAGACAAACCATTGTCTGTCAAATTAATTATTACATGATAGTTTTCACAGAATTTTAAACGAGTAGTGCCCCTTTGTGTGTCCAGCACTAGGGCAAAGACAATTGAAAATCTTTGGAAAGAAGGGAGAACAGAGCTGCCTTGAGAATGCCTCCAGTACAGGATTATTTTAGGGAACTACTTTCTGCTTTCTTCTCACCGAAACAATAAAAAATAAATTCCTTCCTTCCTTCGTTAGCCTCCTTTCTGCCTTTTGAAGGAGGTTGTGACAACTGCAGTGGATTTTGACTTGGTCAGGGCTGAAGATGAAGCAGCTGCAATGAATTTGGCATTAGATGTAGGGATGAAGAAAGATATTTGCTGCTGTTGTAGGTTTGTGGCTTGTCTTCATAGAGGTGATGACCAAAACATAAGGAAGTAAGTGGAGAAGATCTCTGAGGCAGTAGAATGACAGCGACAGGGCAGGACTTGGTGTCGCACAAAGAAATGGTATTGAAGTCAGAGAAGCAGGGAGTGTTCTGATTGCAGGTGACTGTGCAGAGCTGGAGGGGAACATGGAAACCCACCTCAAGAGAGGCTCTAAAGAGGAGAAAAGCTCTTAGAGATCTCCCAAAGCTTTTCCAGTGAAGTATCTTGAAAAGGTCCTTGCACAAGGATCAGATGCCTTGGAGTCCTGATTTTTGTTTGGAATATGATGTGGATTTTGCTGGGCATGATAGGGTGTACATCTGTGATCCTGGCAACTTGGGAGCTGAGTCAGTATGACTGCAAGTTTTAGGGCCAGCCTCAGCAACTTAGCAAGGCCTTACTTCAAAGTAAAATTAAAAGGCTGGGGATGTAGCTCAGTGGTAGAGGCCCTTAGGTTCAATCCATAGTGACACACATGCACCAAAAAACAAAAACAAAAAACAAAAAAACCAAGTGCTATGGATTTAGCCTTCTGCTTGAGAACTTACAAATTTTTCTTATTATAAAAATAATTTGATTTTTGCTAAATTATTCAGAGAAATCTGCCCTCTTTGTTAGTGTGCCTCAGTGTTCTTAAAATCATACTACTTACTGAATCTTCAAATCTAACAACATCTCTTTCTATAAGACTTAAGACCTCCCTTCCCTTCCCACTTTTTTTATTTGGGTCCTGAGTATCCCCCAAGGGTCTGTTTGTTGAAGGCGTGGTCACCAGGGTGGCACTATTGGGAGGTGATGGAACCTGTAAGAGGCGGGGGCTACTACTGGGAGGTCTTCAGGTCATAGGGCCTGTCATTTAGGAGGATTATGGAACCTCAGGCCTTTCTATCTCTTTCACTTCCTGGCCATGAGGTGGGCACTTTATTCTGCCATTTGCTCCCCACTGTTTCCATCCAGCATTCCTACCAGAAGCTTAAAAATAATGGGCCTGCCTCATCCTGGATTGTAACTTACAAAACCATGAGCAAAATAAACCTTTCTTTCTTCATAAATTGATTATCTCCAGTATTTGTTATAGTTATTGAAAGCCGATAAACAGCAAAGGATCAACAATAACAGAGGATACAGCCTGCTTTCTGTGTTGCCTTCACTTGCAAAGGTTTTGTTACATAGTTATTACTTGACATAGTGTAATAACAAAAATATTTTTTATTTATCAAATAAAAAAGTAAATTAGCAGATATGCTTTTCAAATACCATAATCCTCTTCCCATTTCTCCTATTTTAAGTTGATTTTTGCATTGCTGGGGATGGAAATCCAGGGCTTTGCACACAGTAAGCACCTGCTGTACCACTGATGTACATCTTTAGCCTGAGAACCTTTGTTCTTAGGGATATGCTAGATGTGTTTCATGATTTCTATACCTTTGTTACATCCCCTTGACCTGCCTGCCCCCCATGTAAGGGATGCTTTCAGCTGCTAATAAAAATCCCCCTTGACAGTGATTTCAGTAAAAATAGACATTTCATTTTTTCCAATGCTAACAAGTCTGGAGGGAAGAGATTCCAGGGTTGATTTAACAGTTCAGGAATAAGAGGTTTTCTTCGTATTTCCCTGATGATCCCACAATGACTGCCATAGCTACAAACATCACTACCTCACTTCCTTTCAGGAAGAATGGGACATATGGGAGAGAATGCTTTTTCTTGTTTTGCTCCTTTGCAGAGATGAAGAACTCTCTCTGAACCCCACCTCTATTTCCTTGGCCACATTTGTGTCTTATGGCCACTCCTAGATCAACCACTTCCAAAGAAAAACTAGATTTCTATATTCAGCTTAGACCAATTAGGATGGATTCCACTTTCCCAGAATATGTGCAAAATGAGACTTTCATAAATTACTTACCTATTTTGTTTAGGCCAAACTCCCTCACTAGAACATGACTTAATGAGAGTGAATATTTTTTTGTCTTATTTCATTCACTGCCATGTCCCCAACACCTAGAGCAATGCCAGGAATTCAATGAAAAGTCATTGAATAAATGAGGAAGAAGTGAGGTAGGTCACCAGCAGTGTCACTACCCCTGACGGCATACAATCTAGTTGATGAACACAATTGACTACCAATCACCAAATCTCTGACCTTGATCCTTATCTTTTCTCCCAGGGGGTGAGCCATAGCTGGAGACTGCCCTTGTGCCGATGACCCTTCCCAATTCCTCCTATGTCTTAGAAGACAAGATGTGTGAGGGAAACAAGACCACCATGGCCAGCCCCCAGTTAATGCCCCTGGTTGTGGTCCTCAGCAGCATCTCCCTGGTCACAGTGGCACTCAACCTGCTGGTGCTGTATGCTGTACGGAGTGAGCGGAAGCTGCACACTGTGGGAAACCTGTACATCGTGAGCCTCTCTGTGGCAGACCTGATTGTGGGCGCCGTGGTTATGCCCATGAACATCCTGTACCTCGTCATGACTAAGTGGTCCCTGGGTCGCCCTCTCTGCCTCTTTTGGCTTTCCATGGACTATGTGGCTAGCACGGCATCCATTTTCAGTGTCTTCATCTTATGCATTGATCGGTACCGCTCTGTTCAGCAGCCCCTCAGGTACCTGAAGTATCGCACCAAGACCCGAGCATCGGCCACCATCTTGGGAGCCTGGTTTCTTTCCTTTCTATGGGTCATTCCTATCCTAGGTTGGCATCACTTCATGTCCAATACCTCGAGGCACCGGGACGACAAGTGTGAGACAGACTTTTACGACGTCACCTGGTTCAAGATCATGACTGCCATCATCAACTTCTATCTGCCCACATTACTCATGCTCTGGTTCTATTTCAAGATCTACAAGGCTGTGCGACGACACTGTCAGCACCGGGAGCTCATCAATGGATCCCTTCCTACCTTCTCAGAAATTAAACAGAAGCCAGAGAATTCCAAGGCGGGCCCCAAAAAATCAGAGAAGGAGTCTCCCTGGGAGGCTCTGAAAAGGGAGTCGAAAGATGCCAGTGGTGGACCTATTTTTAAGCCATCATCCCAGGATACCAAGGAGAAGAAGTCTCCAGATTCCTTGAGCCAAGAGGAGGATGGAGAAGCAGCCAAACTCCCCTGCTTTCCACTTGACCTTGTGGAGACACAGACTTCGGCAAAGGGAGATGGCAGGGGCTGTGAAGCCGTGGATGAGAGCCAGAGCCAGCTCAAGACAGAGGGACAAAGCCTAAACACCCGTCGGGTCAGTGAAATATCAGTGGATCACACGTTAGTTGAGAGCCAGTCCATCGGCCGCATGACAGACTCAGATACCAGCACAGAACCAGCACTGGGCAGAGACAAATTGAGAAGTGGGTCCAACCCAGGCCTGGACTACATCAAGTTCACGTGGAAGAGGCTTCGCTCCCATTCAAGACAGTACATTTCTGGTTTGCACGTGAACCGGGAACGGAAAGCTGCCAAACAGTTGGGTTTCATCATGGCAGCCTTCATCCTTTGCTGGATTCCCTACTTCATCTTCTTCATGGTCATTGCCTTCTGCAAGAGCTGCTGCAATGAACACGTGCACATGTTCACCATCTGGCTGGGCTATATCAACTCCACTCTGAACCCCCTCATCTATCCCTTGTGCAATGAGAATTTCAAGAAGACATTCAAGAAAATTCTGCGTATTCGCTCCTAAGGGAGGCACTGAAAGGTTTTGACAAAATGATACTTGATGTCCAAGAAGGAGGTGGAGGAGGAAAGCCTGGCATTGCCATGCACCTAAGCTTTCTGGAAAGGAGTTGAAAGCACAGTCTTAGGGGCTGCATTGTGTGGAAAAGTTCTCAGGTACTGTGGGAAGAACGGCAGGTGGTCGTGGTCAGTGCAAAGATTGGAGTAGAGAGCAGAATATTTGTAAGAGAACAAGACCTGGGTGGAGCTGTCCTGCTCTCATGGGGGAAAAGTGGGAGCCTCTGACTCTTACTGTAATTTGAGTTTTCAGACTGGAATTAATTGGCAACTGAAGGGACACTGGATAGAGATCCACTGGAGAGTTGGGACTTTTGCTACAACAGAGCTAGATATCTGTGCAAAGACATGCAAATAGCTGTTGCCCCCTTTCAGAGGTCACCTGGAGAGGCATGACAACGGTTCCCCTGTGGCTGCCACTTCTCAGAACACTTCTCTTCTGAGCCCCTTCTACAGTTTTCTCTAGAACCAAGGTCTGATCCATGCCGAAGATTCTGCCTTACTCTTTATCACTCATGCATGTCTTAGAGTTGATAGGAAGTTATGCAGCTTGCCTGTCCATTGTTTTCAACCCAAGATTCCTTTTGGCTCTTACAAACATGGTGACAAAAAGCTGCCCTCAAAAGAAAGAGAAAGGAAATGTTCTCAAGAGTGTATTAAAAGCAAAACAAAAGAGTAGGAGAAGAAAGCCATACTTCTTTAGGGATGGACCAGGATTACCTCATGGAAGTCCCATGATACCACAATAGAAGGGTGGCCTTATAGGTTCCAGTTCTCAGAGGAGCAAATGAGGTGAAATGAGGTGCCCAAGACCACATAGCTAGTTATATGACAAAGTTAGAATGAAAAACCCTGGGGGGTTCCAGTTCATTGTAACACATTTTTTCCAAAAAAGCAAAAATGCATCCTGTTAAGTACACACACAGTATTCCCAAGAGTGGTGACAGTTTCCAAAATAATATGTTGAAAAGAAGAACAGCTGACATGGAACACATCTGTGGCTGCAGATGACCCTTTGAAGGGACTGTGCATTTTTTATCTCTGTGAGTCCAAAAGTTATCATGTTCTTTTATACTTACATGTATTAACTAAAAATCAGCAAAGGTGTGAGAACATACAGTGAGTTATATTTGATGTTTATGTTGCAGTCTGGTTGTGATTTATGTTTTAAAACTTAATGTTAAAGTTTAATATGTGTAACAAATAGGGATGCCTGTGTCTTGTGTTCCTGTTTGCATGATCCATTAAAATGAAATGTTTTTACCTACCTAAATATGATGTTTGAAAGGATACTGTTATGTGACTGATTTATTTATTTCTACCTTTCTAAGTTTGTTGAACTGAGAAAATGTATTGAAATGCACTGTGGAATGTTATAAGACTTGCTAGGGGGTTTCTGGTCAACATTTGTGAATGTCTTTCAAAAAGGACTTATATTTTATAAAAAGCTTCATTCTCATTCTACTTTGCATCCTGGAATATTCTTCTTGCTCAGATCGTGGGAGCTTCAGAGACTTTGATCCTGGTTTCAGAAGTTGCAACAGGTCCACTTCCAGCTTATAAATCACTTTCCAGAAGACTCATGAGAGAGACAGATGAGATTGCCACCCAAGGCCCTCTGGAGCAGAGAACACATAAAAGGAACACTCCACATAGATAAGAGGCTACGTGCCCATTATTTATGGTGAGGAACAATCCAGACAGCTAGTCGAAAGACATGCTGAGGAGCTTTGATTTTGGGTCAAAGAGACCTGGATTTCAGTCTGACAAGAACAAAAAAGGGTCAATAAATACATATGGGAAGAATCAAGAGAAACAATTTCCATGCATTATTGTTTGCAGTGTCTCTGGTGCTTGCATAGTGTTGGTATACAGAGGACATTCATATAAATTTTAAAAACACATTGAGCACATGCCAGGTGCCAGACTTTGTGCTTTACTGTACCTTTTACAATATCCTCCTGAGTAAGATTTCCTTGTTACATCAAAGGGAAACCTAAGTCCTTTCTACTTCTGTCTGAACATTGACTCAGTTTTTAAACTCATGAAAGGAATTGGACTAGGGCACAGAGATAACTCAGTCCAAACCTATTAGGAAAGAATCAATGGCTGAAGGATTTGCACATGAAACCAGACTTTCTGCCTTAAATATTAAAATAAATACCTCCTAGGAGAAAGTTGTTACAGAGAACAACTTTTGTTGATTGTTACTGACAATTTTGCAAATTCAGAAACTCATTTCTGATTCTTTTCATGGACTTCAGCATGATCAACTTCAAGACAATTCTTTGACCAATTAGTCAAATTTATACTTTACCAAACATTGGCTACTTAAACAATATATATTTTATGTATTAGTCTGTTTTTCTTTACTGTAACATCTGAGACAGGCTACTTTATAAATGAAATCTTTTTATGGTGACTCATAAACCTTTGGAGGTGCAAGATCCAGACAACATGGCATAAATTCTGGTTAGATCTCCCTTGGCTGCATCACATTATGATGGGTGAAAAGGAGAAGCACAGAGTGAGGAAATTCCCTCTAGGATGCTACCATTGACCTCTGTTATGTTTTTCACTGTCTAGGAATGTCAGTTTAGAAATTAAAAACTTAGGGTAAAGAGTCATCTGATGTCCACTACTCCAGAAAGTTTTGTTGGGTGGCTAAGACTGGTGTGGCATATGTGGTTACAAAATGGCTGGAGATAGTTCCCAGAGAAGTGGGAATCACTGTATCTTGGACAGAAACTCCATAATGTGGGTATCCTAAGAACTCAAAGCCCAGCAGGGAAACAAACTTAACAAAGAACTAGCTTCAACCCAGGCTTATGGGTGCTCAATTAAGCAAAGCCTAGAAGGAAGGTATCAACTATATTTTCTGATAGTGTTATACTGGGGGCAGAGGCCTGGCACAAAGCTGAGGTAATCATGGAGACCCCCTCTTCACCCTGATTCTTGCCATCCTGCCAGAAATACTTCAGACATGTTGCTCAGAGTAACAGACATGAGTTTATTAGAAGGAATATGATAAAGGAAAAACGGACACTCTCAAGGGACAGAGTAGATCCTCTTAGGAGAAGGACAGTATGCTTCTCCTAACCTCCAGTTTTATTGGGGGTCCCATGGAAATTTCCAGAGAGTCCCACCTAGGTTCACCTCTTGATCCCCCCCCCCCCAACACCTCTTTACTTTTGACAGCAGACTGACATGAGATTCTCAAGTCCCTACTGCACAAGACAACTCTAGGTCACTTTGACCCATAATGACTGGTTCTAATTAGACCTGGTTCTTACAAATTTTAGGGTTAGGAGAAGTTTTCCTTATTTGCCTGAGTTCTGGGATCTTGTCTGTGTGGAGGATTACCAAATCCTCTCCCTTCAGGATAACTTGTGTTCTCATTGGAATTTTGGATCTGCATGTCTCCTGCAGGTAACAGTTAGTTTGCTGAGGAATGTAACATATGTTGTCAACTTAGGCTAGTCAGGGCTGAAGGTGAATTCTTTTTTTAAGAGAAAGCACAGTGGGCTCAGTTTTAGAATTATTCCCTTAATTTCACAGTTCACATCTATCTGTTCTCTATCAATAAGAGGTCGCATTCCTACTGACTCTGTGTGTGTGTGTGTGTGTGTGTGTGTGTGTGTGTGTGTTTTGCTATGTTGCCCAGGCTGACCTCAAACTCCTGGGCCCAAGTGATCTTCCTGCCTCAGCCTTCGGAGTAGCTAGGATTACAGGCCACCACATCCAGCTCTGTCAAAACAAGTGGATTACTGCCCTGGCCTGAAAGCCCTTTAACTGTTAGGCAAGATGCTTAAAATTTCCTGGCCTCTGTTTTTTCACATGTAAAATGTAGATAATAATAAAACATCAACCTTGGAGGACTAGAGATGTAAAACCCAGAAAACATGATAGATAATAACTAGTAGTCATTCTTATTATTGTGAGGCTATAGAAGGCCAGATTGAGAAATTAATAATATTCACAGTCCAATCTTCAACGTCTATCCGGTGCTTCACAGATAGTGTATACTCTAGAAAAAATTTAGAATGAAAAGACAGCGGTGTGCTCCGAAAATAATGACTGATTTCCGAAAAAAGTAGGTTGGTTATTGTCAACCTTCCGTGGCCTTTTACTATTAAAATTTTCATCTCCTTTGTCTTCACACCTGCCTCTCAAATGGTCCTGGTACTACTTGTTTGAGGCAGGCCATTGCCGCCTGTCCTAGAAGATGCCAGAGGGGATGATAATTCCTCTCATCCTATGATATCAAGAGAGGCCACGGATCTTTTATTTATTTTTTTCTTTTGTAAAAGGCTAACCAGCATATAGACATTCCCATTCCCAAAGCCCAGATAGAGTTCCCAACCAGGGACCTCGCCCACATCCTGACGCCCGCCTTCGCTGCGACTGAAGCTCCTCCCATCGAAGCAGGTGCTAGGGGCGCATTTCACTTAGCTGGTCCAGGGCCCTATGCGCATGCGCGTAAATCTCCCACCCGGTGGCTGGGGGCGGGACCACGTACGTCATTCGGGCGCGCGCTGAGGGCGATGCTATGGTTGCCGGAAGTTGAGTGGCGGTAAGTAAGCAGCGGCTGCTGAGGGAGGAGTGGGCTCCTGCGGGGTTGGTTTTGGACTCCTGAAGAGAAGGGGGCGAGCTCGGCGGCAAGGCCGAAGGTCACTTCGCGTTTCAGAATCCTCCAGCGCCCACCTCAGGGCGGTCCTCCCACCTCCGGGGAGTTAACTGAGAACGCCTGTCGCCCCTCCTCTCCATCCACGTCCCCGCACACTGGTTCAGTCCGGGGTCTTCTGACTAGAAAACTTCTGCTTATTTCCCAAGTCAGTCCCCCTTCTGTCCTCTGGCAGGGAGTACTCAGAATCCCGTGTTAGAACACAGGGGCTGGGACATCTGGGTTCTCGTCCTGGCTTTGCTCAGATTTGCTCTGTGAAGAAATTTTAATTTCTTCCCTTTCTGCCCTCCTCTGTGAGGTGGGAGCAATAATACATTATTTGTTAAATGAAGTTAAACTAAGTCTCCTAAACAGTTTTTCTCTTTTTTTTTTTCCTCCTTCCATCCCTTTTTCTTGAGATATAGGGGATGGAACCCAGGGTCTGGCTTGTGCTAGGCAAGTGCTCTAACACTGAGCCACATCCCTGGCCCTCTAAAGGCTTTTCTAAACTAAGGTTCTCGATTCCTTGGTTTGGTCCCGAAGTTACAAGCTAATGCTTAAGAGAAATCAGTCAGGTAAGGTAAATGCAGTGTAAGAAAATTTCTTTGTCAGAAATAAAGTCTTATTTTTACTGAATTGAATTTTTATAAGTACCGTACTTAATGGAGAAATGAAACTAAGGCTAGGGTGCATTTGTGCATATATGTAATCTCCTTATTTTTTAGCACCACTGATATGCTTCTCCATTGTTTCAAAAAGTTTTGGCAACTAATTCAGTGTTTCTCAAAGCTGTGCATCTGTGCCCACGTGTATCTGTGACTATAGCTTGGGGCCTCTGTCTTAGGCTTCCTTTACCATTGGCTACTTGGATATTTTTCCATGACACCTTTGCTTACTGGTCTGTTTCTTCAGTGACAAAAACCTCAATACTTCTGGTTGCTTCCGTTTGGTCTTTCCAAGTTCTGACTCTTAAATGCTGAGCTAAAAGAAGTTATCTAGTAATCTTATCAGGTTTCTCCTTTAGGTTCTAGAAATCACCCTCACATTTAATAGCTCTATATGTCTTTGAAAGCTAAGAGTTTATCTTCCTGGTCTCTCCTTTCCTAGGCTAGCATATTTAATTTATTTACCCATAGTAAACTCCACAACGACAAAGGATTTTGTTTTACTTGTTGATTGACTGACTAAAATATTCCAGTGCTTGTTAGGTGCCAGACATTACTATATACACTGAAGACAGAAATAGTTCTATTTCAGGGAGCCTGCTTTTTGATGGTGATAGCAGTGCTTGTCAATAAATATATATTTTTAAAAATATTTTTTAGTTATAGATGGACACAATACCTTTATTTTGTTTATGTATTTTTATGTAGTGCTGAGAATCAGACCCAGTGCTCCACACATGCCAAGCAAGTGCTCTGCCACTGAGCCACATCCCCAGCCCTATTTTGTGTTTTTATTTAGAGATAACTCACTGAGTTGCTTAGCGCTTTGTTTTTGCTGAGGCTGGCTTTGAACTTTCAATCCTTCTGTTTTAGCCTCACAAGCTGCTGGGATTACAAACGTGTGCCACTGTGTCCAGCAGTACATAATTTTTAAGGAGTGGTAGGTATTTCAGATCCTGATAACTGCTACAAAAAAGAAAACAGGGTAATGGGGTAGAGAGAAACTTAGAGGACACCAAGGGAGCTTTTTTATTTTTATTTATGTATTTTTTATTGAGGGATGTTTTTAAAACATCCTCCTAGACATCCAGCTGGACAGGTTTGAGTTTCTGAGGAGGTGACATTTGAGCTAATGTCTGAATGATGAAAAGGCCAGTCTTGTGAAAACTCATATTGCCATATTGTCCCTTATTCCTTAACTCTGCGCTCTAGTCTTATTAAATTGCTTGCCTCTAGTTCTCTGTTCCTGTAGTTCCTGTTGCCCAGAATGTCTCTACTCTTCCTTCCGTTTTTCTTGGTCAATTCCTATGTGCTTTCATGTGACATGATTTTGAAACCCTTTAAGGAACTGAGTACTGAGCTGTATTCCAGCACAGCCATGTAAAGTTGTTCTCAATCAACTTCCATTCTAGAGAATAAACATAAATGTTTATTGAGCATCTGCTGTGTGCCTGGCACTGAACTGCAAACTCGGAATGCAAAAATAAGTAAGATATGCATTCCTCTTGTCAAGGAGTTTACTTTTTAAAAACTATAGCATGGAGTTTATCATAGAGGTTTGGTGGAGGAGGTTTTGGCGTGTTTGTAAGTGAGGCTGAGACACCAGAAAGTTTGTATGAGGACTTACTGCTTTATCACATTCTAAAGAATAAGCAGGCAGTACCAGATGAAGAGGGGTGGGAGGTGGCATGAACCAAGGACTGTAAGTATACTTCGTGGCCTATGAGTGGTTTCATCAGAGGAGGCAGCATAGAGTTGTAGGATGAGAGGTGACTACAGAGATAAGTGGGAGCCACATCACGAGGGCCTTATGGGCAATAGCATGTGAACAGCACAGATTTTTGTGTCAGATGCCTGTATCCCAGTGCTAGCTTTGCCATTGAACTAGTTTTGTAACCTTGGATAGGTCACTTCCTTTCTAAGCTTTAGTTTCCTCATCTATGAAAAAGGAAAGAAGGAGATTTGGGGTGTTGCTCAATGGTAGAGCACTTGCATGCACAAAGC